CTACTCCAGCAGCTGGCTTTGCACATGACATAAGGGTCTCATAAAAACAATCATCTCGTCTCAACAAGCCTTATCGGAAAGCCATAAATAAAATTTTGACATGCTTCTTGAAATTATGAATTTGCGTATAACTTTTGCAGTCACATAACTTTTCAAGAGCCGAGTTTTTACAAAATTGGTTTACCCTTTTCTTCCGACGACATTTAATGGAAAGGATGTAAGTATGAAAGGAGAATAAAACTCAATATGCTATACATTGAGAGCATGCATACTGTCCTGGTCTGGTGCTGCTTAGTTATTTACCAAATTGTGCTGGTAAAATATTTCAGTGGAGCTAACTCAAGTCAAAAACTGGAGAGAAAGCATGGGGTGCAATTGATATGATAAACTCGAGCGTATGCTATGTGTGCCCAAGAATCCTGTTGATAAAATAGGCTGTAGAATGGACGTCTTATTTGAATACGAGATTTGTATGGAAAAGTGAGCAGCAATATTATTTCTTCTCAGCTCAGGAGAAGAAACCAGAGGAAGAGTGTGCACCATCTGAGATTCTGCACATGGGAATTGAACTGGACCAAGTTGGCTGGTAGTTGGTTGGCGTATGCATCTTGTATACATAGGTTTGGTTGGAATTTGAAAAGTATAGTTTAACCCGACGACCAAGTCTTTGGAGCAGAAGAGAATCTTGTTACGGAAGGAAAGGAGAGTCGTCGCTGTCGTAAATTTTTCTCCTAAAGACCGAGCTCTCTCTCCTGTTTAGGTTTCCATATTTTTAACAATCCCACCGAATGTGGATCCCATCCGTCTGCCGTGCCTACTCGCACCATCATCTTCTTCCATGTGCATTCATAGATCCAACTGCTTCACATCATGTTCAAACTCTCAAACTTCCTCCTTCTTTTCACATGCAATTCTTTCTTCGACCAATTTTATTTCATCCTCTTTCACTCCTCTCGCAGATATCACAAAATTATTTCGAGAGGAAATGTGGAATGTGTAGTAACGACCAGTTTGCAACATGGAGTGCATATTTAATCAACTTTCTCGGCCTGCCTATATGTCAACTATGACTTTCTTGGAGTTTTTTATCCTTCTTACACATATGTATATTTTACGCAAATGAGATTGCACGCTCTGCGTTTGGACTGATCCGAAAATCTGAAGGAGCAGGGAAGATTATGTGTTGGCGATAAATTAATGATGGGAATATCGAGTAGTTGGGTGGGAGGATGAGATATTGTCAAGTATAATGTACACGAGGTGAATTATTCGGTCATAGGATTTTATTACGTAACACTTGTCAGCTACATACGTACCTGAATTACCCCACGACTTTCCATACTTACACTTGTTATAGTACAAGTAAGGAATTGGAAGAACATCTTTCAACGAAACATGCACTCGTAGTTAAGTTATTTAGTTAAGAAGATGATGCCTAAAATCTTCCTACACATTACGTAGTACATACGTCAATGATTTTAAATATCATAAAGATCGTAGGTAAGCAGTTATAATAGTTATCATAATTTTCCAAAACATCTTTTCACGCACCTGATTCTTGATGATGAGCTCCATGCTGGTATTTATATTTGTGCAATGAGGAATGAATGAGGTTAAGTGGTGCACACTGGAAGGTAAAAATTTATCCATCTGGTAAAATCTTGTAGATGAGGTTCTACTTTTCGTTTGAGATAAAAAAATTTATAGTTTCTACTAATGTTTTTTGACAAGCTTAGAAAACATTCATCGTTTATTGACAAGGCGTCTTTATCCGGTTGGAGGTGATTACATTTCACCATGCGAAACTACCATTGCAGAATGTAAAGCCAACAGAGAGACGGAGAAATCCCAGGAGAGCCGTTAGCTATATAGGAAAAAGAAGCCATTGAATTTTATGAGAAAGATGTTCATCCAGAATATTGACTGAAATACGGAGGCAGCCAAGCCCCACACAAAAAAGCCCCGATATTTGGCGAGGAAAGTGAGGTGAGGCTTTGTTAGTGTGTCACAAATCTACTGAGACAATCCAACCAAGACACGGAGATGAAACGAGGCTACCCTCGATCGGAAGTGATAAATCAGCAACCATTACTATTGCACTATGACCCAGGCAATTTTGTCAGAAGCACCGTTGTAAATCAGCCATCAAATATACCGTTCGAGGAAAGATATGTACTTACTTATTTAACTTCTGGATGTGGACCACCTCTATTCGACGCAGTCATTTAGACACATGTACCGACTTTTGGAATGATGATTATAAAATCTAAATATTGCCATGAGGTAACGTATCTTGATGGTGATATTTTGGATGTAAAGTGAAAAAGAAGATGTGAATTAATTCATCAAATTCCTATACATAAAAGCAGAAAAGTCAAAACATAATTTAATTACTTAATCATTACACTAATTAGCCACTTATTAGCTCATTTGTCTGACATCATCCGATCGATTTATGTATCAAATTGTTCATTAATTTTCGTACCCAGTATGCATTATTTATGCAGTTAATAAAGCTTTGATGAAAAGCAGAGCCTTCGGCATCCTACGAAATATGTAGTCAATAAAAATCGTTTAAAATATTTACACGTAAAATAGAATAATATTTATTCGCAAAGTTCGATGATGAATAATGAGGCGGAAGATATACATTCCATTCTAACAATAGCAACCCGGTAGTAAAGTGACCTAACCAAGTGCAAAAGGAGTCAACTTCCCGTTCCGTATTTGCTCACCTGGTTTTCGCGTTGATGATTAACAAGTTGAATATATTGGTTCGCTTCGCAGTCGGAGTGACTAATTGTCAATATGTACTCTTTTTTTCGTCGTTTAGTTATATACAAAGTTCAGGTAGTTGACCCAGGAGACCAGCTTGTACCATTTTGACGTTTGCTTAATAATTTTGCGCCAGAAAAATTGCATTTGTCATCATGTTGAAGAGTGTATTTAGATGGGTTTAATGTGTGCTTATGTAAATCTCAATTAGGGTTTAAACGGAGCATTGTAGAAATCGGGCCAGGGCTGTTTGCTGAAAGTAATTTTTTATTGGTATACATACATACGTGTCGAAATAGTGGAAATTTAATAACTAAATGAGTTGAGGTAGTGGTATTGTAGCATTTTTTAATTTAAAAAAGGACGCCCTGCCAAAATGTTACCTGGAGGACGCCACTCGAAGCATCGTTCCACTTTTTATGCATTTTTTAGTGTATCCGATCCACTCAACCCAATTTGGCGAAGCATCTCCACGTGCAAACTTGCACTGAAAACGAAGCCTCGTTATCGTTATGTCATGGATCCTATGCCTAATTTCTATTGTTAGTTTGGGTTGTTCATTTTGAATGGTAAAATTAGCCATCACAAATGCACGAGAGCATACATTTGAGTATATATACGTATGTATATGAACCTGCCGTAACTACGTACATATTTGCATATATAAGAGTGCGTAGTGCAGTAGGTTTTTGTTTAGCAGTCATAAATATCAGTTGTATATGTATAGCAAATATTTGGGTGGTAAATTATGTGTGCAGTTCTCCAATCATTAGGTCCTGTTACAAGGATATCGGTATTTTGCATGATATATTTAGTTACTACAAATGCAGCTCATCTTTCATTTATGAGGGTAATTGTAGTGAATATAGGCAGTAATCATTATTATTATGGCAGTATAATTTATCTGTTACTTATCATATTAAATTGATCCCACGTGTACATTGGTGGTTGGTATTAGTATGCCCTACTTCATGTCAGACATGATTTACAATTACTGCAGTTTATTACAAGAAAAATCACACCAACAACACCCACAATATAATTAAACATGCATTTATTTTGGAACATACATACTTTTTTATTGTTGATATTGCAATATTAATGACAAATAAATGTTCGTTCACTGCAAAATGTCAAGATAAATGGTCCTGATTAGTGATGAATGGGAGAGGCAAAATAAGTGGGGTGTTTTAAAATAATAAACATTTCCGTCTTCAACCTCAGTTTTTTTCTCTTTTGGAGGAAGCAAAACGATGCAAAAATGTATAGAATTTGCGGGAGTGTTTCAATGCTGATTTATTGAAGGAATTATGTGTACTGCATGCATGTGCACCTTTTTCATAGGCTGATACATACATAAGGCATACACAAATTGGTCTTAAATTGCAAAATATTTAACGCCAATTTGATAAATTCATGTATTAAAAATGTTCCATTAACACTGCGAACAGAATTGAATATCATAAGTAATCCTGTGTACTTACTGTCCAACGTAGTGAATTGAAGAATTAAAGATTAGGAGGAGAGGGCATCTGAGATTTGACTTTGACAAGTTCCACACACATCATATTCGTGACGATGTTATGTAATTGACAATTACAGAATCTTGAATAAATTACATTATGCAAAGCTGAATTAATGTCCACACAGCAAAACCTTTATTACTGGAATGAATATAAAATAGAGTCAGCCAGGGCTGTGTATGTAGTTGGTTGGTGTATGTTATGTACTCGTGTTGTTGTGTATCAAGTGCAGAAATTGTATAATGTGAGCGAGAAGCCCAACTACGCACTAACAATTATTTAACATTTTCATCCAGGCTTAACAGTAATTCGCAAAGTGCTCGGATTAATCTTCACTGGCTCATTCATACGCCAACATGAGAGCAATAAGTTCCAAACAACACACGCCAACTCACTTTTCATAACTTTTAGTTGGATATCAGGCAGTTGGCACACAACTTCAACTGTCGGAAGAGAAGCAGGCGAACCAATAATATAATATCATGGACTTGTAAATGTACATCTGTGCCAGGTTCAAATGTGACATGGGATATGATGCATTTATTTACCAACCAACCTCTGTTAAAGATATAACGTACTTTACAACTCCTACTGCTCCACTACGACTAAATAATAATAAAAGGAAGCTCTTTTGGCTTACCTCAGTAACTCACTAGTTGACTGCCAACCCCTGCATCCCGACCGATGCTTTTGCCAAAACTGCAAGATGCCACCGTAATAATAATAATGTGCTTGGTGCGATGATATTGCTCCCTCCTAGTTCTGATTAACCTGATGCTGAGGTTTATTCGCTTTACTGATGAAGAGTTGGTGTAAACTTTGTGAGATAGCTCCCACCAAGCCAAACTGCAATCACTGCTAAACACAACATACATACAAGCAAAATTAAACAACATTCGACTAAACATTGGTTCCCAATCTAACCTAACCTCAAATTTCGACCAGCATCCAGCGAGGCTTGCATTCTGAATCTGTGACCACAACCTCATTCGCACACTGAGCATTTTGCATTGAGCTGTAGAGTGGTGAAGTTGTTTTAACACAAGGTTGTGCAACAAGATGTACTTTTCTAATTAAATATTTCCTTGAACATTTAATTGGAGGAGAAGAAGAAGTGGTTCTCGCATACAGACACGTTCTCCATTGAATTGACAATCCTTCATTGCGTGGTGAGCTGAAAATGGCATTGGTGGTGACAGCGATAACAATAAGTGTCTCTCTCTCTCAAATTAGATTTCATTAAACTCTGTTCCAATCTCCAATTGATTGTTCAATCCTTTCTGCTTCTAGTTCGTGACTCTCAACTCTAATTTCTTAATTTTATTTCGGGGTTCACTCCATGATACTCCATGTGTGTGTACGTATTTATGCATGTACGTATTGAAAGTTTGACAAAAATTACGTGATTAGGTCAGAAAAAAAACTAATCCTCGTAGTTAAATATTGATGATAACACGTGCGTGCTTCTGGTAGTCGTTGCAACGGTGGATGTACCTTGATTGCTTTGACTTTGAAGTTCTCCATAAATACATATATACAAAGTACGGTTGAAGTAAGATTTAAACAAGTTTGTAAATAATGAAATACATGAAACAGAGTTATTCAACGTTTAAGTTAATCAAAAAATGTTTTATTGACAGTTTTAATAAGTGTTGCCTTACTTTTGAAGAAATAAACAAGTTAATTTGATAGCACTGTCAAGTTTGCATTCGCTCTGTTGAATTTGCTATTCGTGTATTTAAGCATAAAATGTATGGCAGTAATTGTGCATTTTGGAAATGACGCCTTCCCAGTGAAGCAACCAAAGGTAAATTCTTTGTTCAATATGAAAATAGAGCGAATTTAGTACGCTGTTCATAAAAATGGGAGTGTTTAGCCACCGGCATACATAATTTTCAATAATACGCATTGCGTACATTAATAGATATGTGTGTGTACCTGTGCTACTCTCGCTCATTTGCCTTTCGTGTCAGTTTAGAAAATCCAACACTTAAAAATGTGCCTCCGTGCCAAAGTTATCCTGCGCATAATCTTCTATGTCAGCTAATAAAGCAATATTTATTTCCGGTACAAGTGGCAAATAAAGAAGTGCACATTAGAAAAAGGGTGTGTTGCTCATTCTGAAAGTCGAATGTTTATTATGAGTTTGCTGAACCGTGCAGAACATCAAATACACTAAAATTTGCATTTCATAATGATATGTGTTGCTGCGTACGGAAATTTTTCGCTATAAGAAAGTGCTGCGAATCACAATGCATATATCGCAGCATTTATTTTACACAAGTGCATGGATCTAAATAGTCATCAATAGCTCCATCCATAGAGTCGCAGTAGCAGATCATGGTAACATTTGGATCTCGAATTGAGAGCCTTCTGCAGACCAGAAACAAAATATTTAAATTTTAGTGGTTACAAAAACTTTACAGCGCATCACCTCAGTTTTGCATTTTAAATATTCAATTTTTATAGCTCGCAGTTAACATAAAATATGGAAATATACTAATAATATCTATCAATTTAACGCCTGTAATAACAACTGGAGCCTATTTTTACTACTTGGTTCTCCCAGGAGTTGGAAAATATGGCTAGAAATAGCTTTCAAATATGATTCCCAATAATAAATATATACATAAAATGCCACCTTGTTCTTCAAATCAGCCCATTAATATTAACCAAAATCTGGAAAGGTTATGTTCTCAATGAAAGTTTCCAAGTTCCTATTTTTCCATTTCATAATCAGGTCAAAATAGGATTGTCATAAAGTGGATTCCTGCAGTACAATACAATTAATTAATTCAGCAACATAGATAGTACAAAGTTAAAAATAGGATCCTTAAGAATCTAATAATTAATGCGTGTGAGAAAAAAATTGCATTCTGTAAACACCAGAAGTACTATCTAAGCTGCTCATGGATTGACATTCGCAGCGCACAAGAATGTCAAACATTTTACGTAACAAAACATCCTGATAGACACCAGATAGTTGTCAGAAGAAGTTTATTTTTTTATTTACATAAGAGCTTCAGCGAAGTGATCTTCAACTATATGACTTCAATTTTAAACGGATCATGGATACAATCGGATACGCCATTGTCGCCATAGGCCGTGTTCTTAAAACTAGTCTCATTTTTGAGTGACACGTCTTAATCGTAATAAATTTTTTGACTCGCACTCATGAAGAATTTTTGGTTTAATCGAATTCTGAAAGTCGAGACCATCGCAGATATTTTGTATGTAAATAGAGTTTTTTAAGAGAACGGTTTGTTATTCCGGAGAGACAGTGGCTAAAGAGTTTATGAACTTGCGAGGTCACACGTCACACAATAAGTGATGTCATTTAAATACGTCGGTCCATTTCATATATGCAAATAAATGTTGCAAAAATTACAAAGATATGACGCCAAGTATTTCGTAGACTGTGAGAGTTAAGACTGCTTATTTCTATAATTTATGACCCCTGTGAATTATATTCTCGGTTGGAAGTCTCGGTGTGGCAAGAAATAAATTCTCTTAGTAAAACTTTTATAATGAAAGCAAAATAGTGAAGCCAGAGTCATATCTTGCCAATCTTGCATGCGTAGTGTTATTCTTAACAACAAAATGTGTATATGTATTCGTCCCACATGTGGAAAGTAGAATGCTGCGAATTTTATAAAAAGTAGACCTTTATCCAACTTTACCATGATGATATTTTATTCGCAGAAACGAGAGAATTTGTGTTGATTCAAACTAAAAGAGAGTCATGCTTCCCAAAAACAAGTAACCTACAGTATATGTGTCAGTACATATGCACATAAATATTATACGAGCTATCCGATTTCTAGAAACTTCTGTTCTGTGTAACTGTTGATTTTATCCTTGAAATTGGACGGCGGCCACAATTAATTGACATTTAGAAATTTTGTAGAAATAGTTCACAAAAGCAACGCGACACCAGTGATGTCAATGATCGTGGGTGACAATATACTCTCTGAGAAGCTCGGGTGCCATTCACTAGTTGCATATTTACATGTTTGCCACTATATTTAGGCAGAGGTTCTCAGTATAAATACTTGGTATGCTTATCCATTATATGGCTTATGATCGTCATCGTCGCTACGTACAATGTATGACGATAGCATCACACACTTTCTTAATTTCGAAGAGTAAATTCTCCAGAGAAATACTTTGCATACGTCTCAAGTAAAATAAGAAATAGGCAATGAGATCGGGCTGAAATGAGATTCACTCCAAGTGAAGAATTAAAATTAGGTGTGGAGAAGAGGGAACGGATGTAGAAGGATCCAATTTTTGCAGATATGGTTGGTTGAGCAGGGTATAAAATTGGACGACCAAATACATATGTACACACGACTAGAGGAAGGAAGAGAGAGAGACGAGTTAAATTACTTGTTGATTGCATTAAGGAATGTGACATCTTCTTCTGCTGCCTTCGAATCCAATCCAAAAACACCCGTTCTGTGAGGACGCAAGGTATTGAATGAATTTGAGTTGACACATTCGGATGCTGCTGTTGTGGACTCTTTTATAATACGAGTGGCAGAAGCGGAGGAGTGCCATGTTAAATTCACATTCGCAAAAAGAAACTTGTTCAGAATTCCAATCTTGGCACTTTGTTAGATTCATTCCCCCTCAGTAGCAGCAGCAGCTGCCTAAATATAAAGGATCTCAAGGAACTGTCAAACTTGTAGGTGGTGGGAGAGGCATTATTTGTATGTGAGAACATAACAAAGGGTTCATGAACAGAAAAATATAGACTGCTTTCGTTTACAAGTACAGATTACGTAGATGGGTGGCAATGGTGGAAATATAGACATTTCTACATTGCCCCACGGCACGTCAATCCTAAAAAATTGCATTACATGGTTTCATTAATGAGCGTTGAATGTTGAAATTTCAACATTAAAAACGACAAATTGTACCATTTATCCCAATTATATTGCACATTCTAAATTGTATTCCGACCAAATAAAACTAAACTAACTTCACTACTAAATGACCCGAAGCTGTAATCCATGCAATACATACATATCACGTGCTGAAAGAGTGAAAGCAATTTGCTTTTAGCAAGAGAATTTCATAACCAATACATTTATGCAGGAAAATAGTTTCAGGAAAAGTTTTACAAATTTCTCAATTGGACGAAAAAAGATTACAACAGAAAATCTTTTATGTAGGAACAATTTAATAGAGTCAAGTTCGTCATAAAACTTCAACTTGTTTTACTTACTAACTCTTTTCAATTTCTACGCAGAAATGCGACGTGTCTATTTATGCATCGAGATATATCGGCCAAATGTATGTAACAAGTCATAAAAATTTCCAATGCTGCTTACAAAACAATTAAGCATTGGTAAACAGCAGTATACATTCTTATATTGCATATTGTTAAAAAATAGAAACACTAAATAGAGAATGCGGAGCATAAAACGTAAATGAAAAGTAGGGCAAACTGTTTTGTGCAATTTATAAAAATCCATGGTACAAACACAAAGAGGGTTTTAACGACTAACTGAAATATTTAATAGTACCGGTATTGTCGTTAAAGGTTGTTAAAGAAAAATGCAAACTGGTCGTGAATTTGTTGGAAATATTAATCCTTGGTCAAATGTTTTGAAACTAAATCATATTTCAAAGCAACTAGTCTACTACTCATATATATTATGTGTTTGTAATTAATGATCGTACTTTACGCAGTTATACAATTCAAATAAGTGAGTCTGTTATTTCTATGCGAGTTACTACAGTTGTCAGCTTTCTTGACTTTTTAATCTGAAAAATGCGTATATATGATATCGGTCCAGTGGTTGACCAGTGTGCGTCATTTAAATGGATACCGATGACACTTTTGCACTATCAGGAGTTTCGATAAGGGTAACCTACACTGGTTTACGAAATTAAATATGTAGGAAGTGAAAAGTCTGCACTGTAGATTTTGTAACAATGGAATGTAAATCGGCAGATATATGCAAATATACATATTACCAGTGAATATTCATGAATGAATGCAAAAAGTGAGTGATGACGATGCTTACGATCGATTTCAATTTAATCGGATGTTGAGATTTACTGATAAAGAATAATATGCAATACATACTGATATGTAATATCAGTCACGGCGTAATTTACGGGTACAAAAATACTCGTCAAAGCTGTACGACATTTTCAATTCACAAGTGTTCATTTCTGCATGTTGCCGTCCTATCTCTGGTCAAAATTTTTATGGAAATTATTATTTGCTTGGCTGTATGAGCTCTTAAAAGGGTTCTAGGACGAGTAACTATATCCAGGGTGAAGAAAATTTCAAATCCTGAATGAAATAAAATACTTTCATTCTAATGTTAATGCTGGAAAAATATATTCTATTACCATTTTGAAAGTTAGTTTATAGGTATACCAAAAAAACTGAGGACAACCCTTCACCGACAGAATCACCGATCTTGATGCCCTTTGGATATGTTGTAGTCCTAGGTGAGTCTAGCAAAAGTGAAGAAGGATTTCATTCCATGGCCCCATTTGCGACCGCCACACCCACTCAAAGGTGCGAAAAACACGAAAAATACCCTGTTTTCGTTCATTCTAAAAATCACCAAAAATCCAATTTTGATCTGATTTTCATAATTTAAGCATTTTTGTGATCTTAGATAGTTTCTTTATCATATCCAATAGCAAACTCGATTTTTTTGAAATTTTGATTTTTTCGAAGGCATACCCCTGATCAGGAAATTTTCGAAAATATTCAAAAAATTAAAAAAATTGAGTTTGCTATTGAATATGATAAAGCAAGTATCTAAGATCACAAAAACGCTTAAATTATGAAAATCCGATCAAAATTGGATTTTTGGTGATTTTTTGAATGAACGAAGACAGGGTATTTTTGGTGTTTTCGCACCTTTGAGTGGGTGTGGCGGTCGCAAATGGGGCCATGGAATGAAATCCTTCTTCACTTTTGCTAGACTCACCTAGGACTACAACATATCCAAAGGGCATCAAGATCGGTGATTCTGTCGGTGAAGGGTTGTCCTCCTGAGTTTCAACGCAGCTTTTAATATTAACATAAATCGGGCGTAGTACAGCTTTGTACCCTACTAAATAAAATGACAGGTGCAAATTGGTTCTGGAAATGAGTTTATGCAGTCTGAATATATATTATGCATGTATGTAGTGTGTAAACATGCGAAGTATTTAAACTCGTATTTATGTGGTACGCAACTTGTCAGAAATATTTTTGCATGCTAAGTTAAACTTCTATAACAAGCAGACCTTCATCAATCCCACAAATTTTAGTTTCGTGTAATTTAAATTACTATTCAATAACATTGGCAATAATATTTACGTTTGATTTTATTTTGGCAATAATATATTTTCAACGTTGTGGTACAAAAATTGACGAGCTATTTCTATCCTGACCTTATTTAGTTCTCAGTCAGTGAGACCTTGTCACACTTTATAAACATTCGTTTTGTTGTAATCACAAATTGTACCGTGTTTCAACTCTTGTTGTCTGTAATTTGATAAAAATGATTCGACATGATGCAAAATGACATTATTCTCTGAATTATTATCATCGTCGATTCTACTGATGGTAGCCGCCCTTCCAAAATGAAATAAATGTTCTGATACTCGGAAGGATGAGAAGAACATCGCTCCGAGAATTAAATTAGAATTAAACGTGGTTGTTTCTGCTACCGAACTGCTACTTCTATGACTCAATGCATCCACGCCATGCAAATATACGTACGTAAATATGTACGTGTGTTATTTCTAATCTTTAACATTGCATTTAAACAAGCGAGTAAAGTACGCCGAACGTGATCACAAGATTTGCACTAGTTGATAAACCATATTATTTCAATCATAAACGTTTGAGGTGTTTTTTATTTTGGTGCTCCATGAATATCATCATCATCGCATATTGTGAAATATGCATGTAGTGAGTATTGATTTTGGCCATGGGATAAATAAATACCTTCTTTGATTGTGTTATGTGCGTAATTTTTAGTACATAAGTCGTAATATTTTTTTTGTTTCAGGGGTTGACATTCAACAAACAAGACTCCGCGGATGGAATTAATATCAGTATACCAGGTAACCCACCAATACATTCTTTTTGCATAATTTTGCTATTACTATGTTCAAGTCGTGTAAACTACAGTAGTTTTCATGTTAGTGAGTTAGCTAAAAATGCTACGTATGCATATTACCAATTGAGTCTCTCTATCAAATAAAATGAGAGAAAAAAAGGAAACGAGAAAAACGCGATATTTAAGACATTTTCTCAGATAGAGAGCACGGAAATATAAAATAACAGATATAAAATAACAGGATTTGTTTTTTTTTTTGTTTCTGGAGCGAGCTGCGAATGCACTTGAATTCTGTCAAAAACGAATTACATTACAATGCACAAATCCTTGTTATCAAAAGTCAAACTTTGCCTGTTTTGGACCTGAAGGTCATTTTACACGTATCAAACCTCGTTATTAGACATTTGTTCATGTCTTGGGGCTACGGAACAAACTTCATATTGTTATTGTAGCTGAGCTCGTTAGGATTGTTTTGTATTACCGCAATTGTTGATAAATATCCTTCTGAAAGGAAATCTGCTGCATCCAATTTCATAACTCATAATTGCCTTTGCAATGTCATGTCCCTTCATTGAGATTGAACTTGGAACGAGGTGCGAATAAGTCGATTGGTCGTTTCTTGCGCTTTTGGTGGTGGACGTGTGGTTGTTATAAATTTGCATTGATATGAGGATGTGACTTTGATATTATTTAAGGCGTCATAGACCCGTGTAACGGCAGAGCTTAATGTCCTTATTAATCAGAATAATGTTATATTCCATGCGATTGGATGCCCAGTGACTACACTAACTTCTTAAGTGCGGTGGAAGTTTATTATTTGTTGGCCTCCTCAGCATTCCATCAAGGCAAGCAACATAATAGGCTCTAGTGCTCATATGTATAAACAGTAAACACAATTACGTGATTAAGATAGGTATCATATAAACATCTTCTTTGCTTTGAAATATTTTTCAGAATTGTTTTTACATGATTCCGCCGTTCCTGCATCCTTAAAAAAATGTCATTATTGTATCTGACGAGTAAATACAGCTTATATACGGATACAATGTATCTATATTAAAAGAATCACAGTGCCTTTGTTTTCGAAACACAACTTTGGTTTTGCAAACAACGACATCAAAATGTTGCCTAATGATGTTGTATAAATCACATCAAACCAATAGTTATTGGAACCATTCCACCAATGTGTACAACTTTAACCTTTCCATTTCTCATCCGATCCAAGAACACAAAATAGAAACATTTTCCATCAGTTAATATGCCTCAGTTGGTTAGCGCGAGTAATAATAATGGGGTCGCACCATTATCCTGAACATAGTTGTGCATATGTATCGTCGTTGTCGTCAAAGTATGTACAATGGGCCCACCACTGCACTGCCATCAACTTTAGTGTAACTGCATAGCTTGGTTTTTTGGCTTGGCTGGTTCACTTGAAAGAAATGAGGTGTCAACTTTGGCATTCCACGCATTGAGGGCGACATAATAAGAGTATGATGTATCATCACAGTTGGAAAGATGAACAATAAATGACACGCTCTTTTTCGCAGTTGGGAAGGATCGCGGAAAAAATTGGTCGGCTTTCCATTTTGTTTGAACTGTTCAAAGCAATCCATTCCATCCGGAGAGGAGTGATGTAGTGTTATGCGACAGAAGCAGCTTCGTACCAATTCGTACATCCGCATGTGATAAAATTGTGAAACAATTTCAACTTTACTTTGAAAAGCCAAAGCCAAGTCAAGTGGACTGGAGATGATGATGGAGTATGCTTAAACGTCTAGTTGTATATTTTCATATGAATTGATTAGGACAAGAGCAGGAAGGAACATAATTCTCAACTTTTCCAGCAACGCTGAGAAATTGCAGACTACTACTTCATGTGCAATGAGTGATGAACACTAAGTGAAAGGCACACACAATATGGAGTCAAAGCAGACTTTAATTTTTTATAACAGTCCAGCCCATCCCAACTCAAGTTGTGAGATGATAGAAATATTGTTAGACATTGAAGCGAAAAACAAAGAGTACTTAAGACAAGTTTATTCCAACTCGAACATCATAAAAGCTGCCCAAGGGGTCTCTCTCGAGTCAGCCGACTGAGTAGTTTTTGTTTGTCAATTTAAGTTTATTACAACAAAGATATTTCATATGACATTAGTCAAGGTGCATTTCCGAGAGAGAGAGAAAGGAAAAATATGTATAAAGAAAGGGTAGACCCGTTTCAAGAGGACGAGGAAAGCTACTTCAAAGTGAGGAAGAAAAGAGAAAGCTGACAGAAAAGATGAATATTACCCGCTAAGTATAATATTTATGTTGATCTTAAGGATTTCCTTTAGAGTAGTGGTGATGATGGTGGTACTTCAAAAAAGACTGCCCCAGTTACGTTGAACTATTCAAGTTGACCTGTATACCCTAGAAAAGTATGAACATCCGTGCATACATATATACGCACGTATACATGTACGAAATGGAAAAGAAAGTGGTTGATTGCCCAACACGTCACGTCTTGCTCATGTTTTATTTTATGCCGGGAGAAGATCCAGAAGCTTTAGGATGACAGTGACAATATTTTATGCCGTAATGTTTCTGACTTCATTCCAATTTGCTTTTAAGTAGCTCACACAAAGCAGAAGGGGACACGACGGGAGTCATTGTCACATGTAATCAGGTTTAACCTGAATATGTATATATGTAGATATCCATACAATTCCATCACCTTGTAACTTATGCGACCAACCAAGCGACTCTACATATTTACATGCAAACCGATTACAGATATTATCGTCTTTGGGTGGTTTGGTGGGTTTTTCAATAATGTTTGTTCGAGACTTTTAACGAGGAAAATGTACAAAATATTTAAACAAGTGAGAAAGGGAAAGAATATCAAGTCTTCTCTGCTACCTATGCATTTGGCACAGCGAGGAAGAAGGAGAACCACTATTTCCTGCCTTGCTCAATAAATTAAAAGACCTGCTGCTGGGGCAAGGGTGGCTGGCTGACGGGTTGGTTTGTGTCACCTTCTTTTTATAGGTTTGTTCAGAACGGGGTTGTGTAAAGTTGGCGAAATACTTTGGATTTGTCGGGATTGGAGAAGAAAGTAAGACAATAGATTTTGAGAATGTGAGACTCTGCTCAGAAATTAATTACAAACGCTTCACTTCCCACAATCAAATCCAATCCTACCTTCCACCATCAAAACCCGTGCTGTGGAGATGGTGGCACTTTTACCAGAGTTCATGGAGTCGTAAAATTGGACATCCTCGACTTGTACAACTCGCTTCGTGACTCTTGGACTTCTTTCTCTCATCTATTTGTCTTTGATCTTTCCTTCTTTACGCCTTTAGTGGATTTAGTTGGAAATTTAATGCTATACACGGCCAACTTTCCCTGCCCCGGTTCATCCCTCTCTGGTTGTCCTCCTCTTCTGCTTGCTATATAAATATATGTACACTTCTCAAAGTCCTCAATCTCCACTTGGGAAGAGAGAGAACGAGGAGGAGGTTCGTCACGTTTGATGGCATGCTTCATCCTGCTCATAAAAATCAAATAAATGGGCACAAGTCCTTCTCAACAGGAAAAAGGACCAAGGAATGGTTGGACACTTATGTTCCCTTCTTCTTCTTATTAGAACTATCATAAATAAAAGAACATTTTTTAAAAGAAGCAAAACCGTATTGCAACAACTGTCGTTTTAGTCAATTTAAATCCAGACACCTCTTTACTCTTCTCAAACATCAACAATTTGAGCAACTTAAATGAGATTTGGAATTTATATTTAATTTGAATATTTGTTTTTTTCCTCTTTGTGTACAACGAAAAAGTTTAAATTTGAAAAATTCTTCCTCGTTCTTTGTGTTCCCGTCTTTCTTGTTTCTCCACTCCACTTACTTGCTGTTTGAAGCAAGTCAAAAGAAAATATGTACGCCACTTTATTGCACAACTTTCAATTTGCAGTGGTCTCCTATCCAACTCTCGTCATTCCATATTCCTCCCAAGCAGACAAATACATATAAAAAGGAAACTAATCCAAACCAGGATGGCCTCTTCAAAGGCAAAACAAAGAGAAGCAGTTTACTTACACAGACAATTTTAATTCCTTCGTTGTCTTAGTTTGAAGTGGTATTCACAAAATATTTAAGCGCCTGGATAATTTTACTGGAAATGAGAACATGCTCATTATCAAAATTCTGAATGTTTCTACGAGTTAGAGAGAGGATGCCTACGATTTTGAGGGGATTACAATTTGACTTGAACAAATTATCGGAATAACCTTTCCAAAGGGAGGAAGGAAGGAGGAAGGAAGCTGATTTATTGACACACGTTTGTTGATAGTCCTGTTTCACACTCGCACCGAAGTAACATCTAACTACATTGATAATTTTAATCATATTAACTTTCAACATGGCCCTTTAGATTGGTTTGTGTAGTCAGCGAAAGGCTCAAATTAGCTTCAAGTTCAATATTATGTGTGAGTCTGGAATTGAATCAACACGGCGCTTGCTTCTGCTCCTACGTACGATTTAAGAGATTTTATCATCCCTACTTCAACATGTAGTGAATGAATATCGCATATGCACATAAAACAGAAATAAACAGCGTGGTGTTTCTTGATACCGTACTTTGAAGCCAGACGAGCTCGGCCGTGTGTATGCCGGGTTGATGAGTAATCCATGTCACAGTCATTAATTATCCTTGTGTGCAAACGTGTCTAACTTGGTGAGTAGTATTGAGCAAATATGAGGAGACAGCCAACCGTGCATTTTCTCTCAGGGCTTTCACCAAACCAACACACCCATGATTCCTAGAACATGAAGTTGGTGGGAACATTCGCGAAAATTCCCAGTTTCAAATGACATCGCCATAATTTGATACTGAAATTGTAGGATTCAGATTGCGTTGCTATCTGCGGCAAAGTACACTTTGAATTACACAGGTAAACTTCGTCTCTCTCTCTCTCGATAATGCTGGTCCAATAATTTTCCATAACTCTTCCAAGTGTAGTCGATT